GAGTTTATACTGGCTGCACATTTATTGATGAATTGATGATGGGAGTTGCTTACACTATGAGGAGCAATGTTAAAGTGGCCACCAGACTCCTGAGCAACAGAACATAATATAAACAGACTTCCATACTATAGAAATTGATAAACATTCCCAACTTGTTTCTAAGGTCTAATCCAGAACAGCTAAAAATCCAACATACATCAAAGCACAGCTTGTAATAGCTGGTAACTACCTACTCGCTCTTACTCAAACCAGTGTTATTTACTACAAATGGTTGATTAGCCATGGGTGTCACCATGGAGACATTGTTTTAAGCAATTACTTTTAATGTGAAAAACATCTCAAGTATTCCCCCTGTTCATATTCAAGGTTAGATTTCATCTGATTACAAACTAAGCAAAAATGAGGACTAAGGTTGCAAATCATTGCATGATCAGCAACATTATCTATTCATTATTTTTCTAATTACTAATCAGAATGCAATTAACTGAATCTGGATTCCCAATTAGCCACATGTTGAATAATGTTCCATACAATCCTACACTGGACTGCACATTTGCCCTTTCGTATACAAAATTAGACTGAATCAATACTACAGCAAATGTCTGATAAACAACACAGAGAGAATCAATGTACCACAGTTAATTGGACAAACTCCTGACTGGTGTCTGAATTACGTCATGTTTTGTGAAACTATTTTTAAACTATAAATTCTTAGTTCAAGAGCGAGAGACATTAACATTATCACTTATTCTGTGGATTTTTTTAAGAAGAATGATTTGCATTTATGTTGGGGTGCAAAGCATTTTCTGCTGAATGAAGGATTTCATTGTTGTTATGCAGGAAGCACAGCAGCCAATTTGCACATAGCGAGCTTCTGCAAACAATGTAATAGTGACCAGATAACATTGGTGATGTTGGTTGAGAGCTAAATATTGACCAGGACACCAGGGAGAACTCCCCAAACCTCCTACAAATAGGGATCTTTAATGACCTCCTGATGGGGCAAACAGGACTTTGGTTTCACATCTCATCTAAAAGACAGCATGTTTGACAATGTGCACTCTCTCAGTATGTCATTGGCTGTCAGCTTGGATTTTGTGCTCTGTAGTGATTGGAACCAGGTGGATCTCATTGACTACAGGATCCTTGATTGGGACTGTTAACCTGGGCCAATCAGGAAGCCCTGGCTAACCAATATAAACGGTAGATGTAGAATCTCCTCAGTTGAGGGGACAGAGTCCGAGCTGACTGGCCATAGTCAGTGTACTGTGTATAAGTAAATAAAGGGTGACTTGGTGATGGGTACTGGCCTTTGTGCAGTTTTGTCATGCTCAATCTCTGGGTGGGGAGAGAACCAACAACCCCCTGACCCAAGGACACATCTGCCCATCGAATCATGACTGGCACCAGGTCTTTTACAGGGCCACGCTCACAGTCACCCATGTTATTGATTTATAGTGGGTTCATCTAGGTCTGCGATTAAAATTATAGTTGTGTCCATTTGTAACCAATCTCCTGTGGTCACTGAATGAAGAATCACAGACCATGGTCTAGATTTATCTTCGTGAAAACACCACTTAAATTGACTGATTGCTTAGTGTTTAATGAGACGTGTGTATTAATTGCTGTTAGTTCCTCCAAGTTGCTGGTTTCCAGGGCAGCCAGAGGTAGGCAGATACTTAAAGAGTAGTTTCATTGCTGTTAAATGTCAGTACATTCCCATTGTGCTGTTTAAGCTCTAATCCTCAATGTTGCCTAGTCACTGCGGCAAATATTGTCACCCATTAAACATAGTTCTATTTCATGTTCTCTTTGGTTTCTGTAATCTTCTGTAATCCTTCATGACTAGATTGTGAAGCAGATTTTACATTTGCAAAAATAATTTGAGTCATAAAATTCAGCAAAGTACATTGCAAACACTTTGATGTGAAAATTACAGTAAGTGTAATATACAGCATATTCAACTTTTAGGAGGCTCAGTACAATTGTAATATTGTAAATATTTATAATGTACATTCCATATCAGATACACAGCCAGTGGGCACAGTATTTCAAATTGAAAAAGAAAATGCAGTATAATAAACTTTTCCCCGTAGATCATGATCCACTCTAAAGTGCCTTAATAACATTTCAATAGTCTCTATGTTCAACATTGTACATTCATTGTTAGGATGCAACTGAAAGGGTTCTATAGATTCCACCCCTCAGTACACAATGGCTGAAAGGCCTGAGACAGTGATTTTTCTCCGTTGTAACTCTGTCGGCAGGTAATCCTGTAGTTTGGAATGTGCCAGTTGCAACTCTTGGTCAAGGGCAATGTTTGTACTGGAATACCAGAAGTTTTGGGCAGAGCAAAGAGCATCTTTCACTGAGTTGATTGTCCTGCTGCAGGTGATGTTTATCTCAGTGTGTGTCCTTGGGAACAGCCTGAGCATCTCAGAGCCCTGTGTCACAGAATGTGGGACTTTTTAATGTTCTTGTGCCCCACTAGTTGTCAGTGTGTGTGTCTCTCTGTCAGCGTTAATGGATGCTGTTCATTGTGTTGATTCTCTTTGTGAACACTATATAATATTTACAATATATATTAATGATTTAGATGAGGAAACTAAATGTAAAAGCTCCAAGTTTGCAGATGACACAAAGCTGGGTGGGACGTTGAGCTGTGAGGAGGATGCAGAGATGCTTCACTGTTGTAGATGTTGGTGTGTTCGCTGAGCTGGGAGGTTTGATAGCAGACGTTTTGTCCCCTTACTAGGTGACATCCTCAGTGCTGTGGACCCTCCTGTGAAGCGCTGTTGTCTTATGCCGGTTCAAATTTATATGGTCCGGCTTTTGCTGGTTCCGGTAGGTGCCGGTTCCGGCTCTGCGTTGTAATGGTCGGTATATTGGGTCTAATTCAATGTGTTTGTTGATGGAGTCCGTGGATGAATGCCAAGCCTCCAAGAATTCCCTGGCTGTCCCTCTGTTTGCCTTGTCCAGTGATAGTAGTGTTGTCCCAGTGGAAAGTGCGGTTTTTCTCATCTGTGTGCATTGAAACAAAGGTCATCTGGTCGTGTCGTTTAGTTGCTGGCTGGTGTTCGTGTATGCAGGTTGCTACTTGTCTGCCTGTTAGTCCCAAGTAGTGTTTTGTGCAGTCTCCACATGGTATCTTGTAAACCACATTCGTCGCGTCCATGGTATCTATTGGGTCTTTAACCCTAGTCAATGAAGGAATGAAACATCTGCTATCAAACCTCCCAGGTTGGCGAACACACCAATATCTACAACCAGAACCCGAGCCACAAATCTACACTCAAACCCTGAATGCTTCACCCTGATTTGGACCACGAGTGAGTGGGCAAATGTATGGCAGATGAAGCATAATGTGCATAAAGGTGAGGTTATCCACTTTGGCAGCATGAGCATGAAGGCAGATTATTATCTGAATGATGTTAGACTGGGAAAGGGGGAGGTGCAATGAGACATGGGTGTCCTTATATAGCAGTGGATGAAAGTAAGTATGCAGCTGGTGAAGAAGGCAAATGGTACATCGGCCTTCTACAGAGAGGATTTGAGTACAGGAGCAGAGATGTCTTGCTGCAATTTACAGGCCTTGGTGAGACCATATCTGGTGTATTGTGTTTAATTTTGGTCTCCTTACCTGAGGAAAGATGTTCCGTTTATGGGAGAATGCAACAAAGATTTACCGAACTGATTCCTGAGATTGCAGGACTAGTGTACTAAGAGAGGCTGAATTGATTAGGACTATATTCACTGAACTTTAGAAAAATGAGGGGTTTTTCATAGAAACCTAAAAGGTTTTGACAGGACTAGACAGGGTAAAGACAGGAAGGATGTTTCCGATGACCAAGAAGTCCTGAACCAGGGATCACAGTCTAAGCACGGGGTAGGCCATTTAGGACTGAGATGAGTTGAAATTTCTTCACCCAAAGAGTGGTGAGCTTGTGGAATTCTTTGTCAACACCTTGAATATTTTGAAGGAGTTAGATGTAGTTCTTCGGGTTAAAGAGATCAAAGGGTATGGGGAGAAAGTGGGAGGGCACTGAGTTGGATGAAAGGCCTAAAGAGTCCTGCTCCTTTTTCTTATGCTCCTATAAATTAATTTGTCTTACTCTTTGACATTTCTTTGCATATCTCAAACTCTGGAATTTGCCATCAGTCAAAACTGATCTCAATATTTCCATGATCATGTCAAACAAAATCCTTTGCCATTAGTGTACAAGGAATGTATTTTATGTCATCCAAAATTCCAAACATAGGTGCACTGTGTTACAGATTGTTATTGAGGCTCCAGGTACTGACTTCAGGATCCGCCCAAACAGACGTCATTATATCTGTGACAACAAGGTGCAGAGCTGGATGAACACAGCAGGCCTGCTTTGTTCATCCAGCTCTGCACCTTGTTGTCTCGGATTCTCCAGCATCTGCAGTTCCTACTATCTCTCATTATA